TAATTAGTGGCTTCTCTTGCTGGCTTCACTTGCAGCAGGTGTTTTAGAGTAGGGTTGGAACTAAACCAGATATATGGATCCCTGTGTAGACTTGTAGATCTCCAGAAGCAGAAGTGAGTTTCAACACTCCAGGGGCCTCATTTATCTACAGTGCGTACGCACAGATGTGTGCATAATGAGTGCGTAAGAACAGTTTCACGCAAAGTGACCAACTTATGTAGGAATGTGTGTAAATATAAGCACAACTCTGAGCATGCTATGCAGAGAATCTAGTGGTAGAATGGTGATACTACAAAAAGAAAGTGTCGCCGCGTGTGTCCTGTGTCCTTTAATTGCAAGTACTCAATTAGTAATTTCATAGTTCAAGCTAGATATTTGCATAATTGGTGTGAAAAGCTATAAAAGACAGCTGGGAAGTCATTTGAGAAGTAGCTATAGTGTCCCGGCTGATCTCGCTTTGCTGGAAGATCTGGCAAACCATGTGTTTTCAAAGACAGCGCTGATCTGTTTAGTGAGAGCACAGAATGGCTTCTCAGTCGGTACCACTTTCTTTGCCATGGTTTTGGTGAGGACATATACATTCACCTGATTTATAAAGGGGGGTGTTGTCACCTTAAAGCTATGGTTCATTGGAGGCGTTACTGAATGCAAATGACAATGAATGTGATCGAGCATGGTGCTTAAGGACATGTGGGATTTATCAATTTACAGGTGTGCGTAAGAACCGCGTGCACACGTTTAATAAATATCGATTTTTTGGTAACACTTTACTTTAAGGTGTCCTTATTACACATGATGTGACATGTACTTACTATTATAATAATTAATTATACGTAATTACATGCAAGTAACCCAGACAATTTGCAAGAGATCTACATATATAGTGGTGGCCAAAATTATTAGAACACTAGTATTTTGACCAGCTAAAAACGTTTTTAAGTCCGTTTTTTCTATCTTTTGCTGTAGTGTGTCAGTAGAAAATATCAGTTTACATTTCCAAACATTAATTTTGCCATTAATTGTAATAATCCAGTGAGATTTTTGTTTGCACAAGGAGTCTGACAGCAGCCAGTGCTGCACACAGAGATCTGGGCTGCGTTTCCCGATAACGGTGTCTCTTAGCGCGCTACAAAGACTCTAAAGGTACACCTTGAATAGGAGTATACCTTTCCTAGGTGTGTTCCCCGAACTATACCTTAAGGTGCGGTCACACTAGACTTTGAACGTGCACATTTTTTTCGGGCACCGCTGCGAATATGGGCGGAAGTAGGATATGACATCACGTGCCAAGGTTTCCCCTCAGTTATCACAACATGGATTCTGATGTGCTTGTACTGTGTCTTTTGGGACGGCGTCGAAAGCGTCTGGAAAGGAGAAGGCTGTGGGTTCACCCTATTCTAGCGTTCACCCTATAAACGGGGAGAGGTCCATTCTTTAATTCAGGAGCTTCGGCTGGATTAGGATAGCCACAAGGAGTACTTATTTTATTTGATTTTTATAATCTTTTAAAGATGTATTATATAAAATAGGATGCTGCGCTACGGCTAAAATTAGCGCTTCCTCCATTTTTGAATTTCTGTACAGAGAGGTCACGCAGTGACGTATCGATCTTCTACTGGTCACACGTCTTCACGTGATGCGAATTCGCAGGTCAGAGTTCACCAAACTTGAACTTTGGAATGCAGCAAAATGCAAAATTTTTCGCATGAGCTTGTGTTTCCGGTCTGACGCATTCGCATGCGTATGAATGGAAGTCAATGGAACAAAATGTGCAGTGTGACCGCCCCTTTAGGATGTGGCTTAAGGTAAACCTTTCTACGTGCGACGTTAGCAGGTGCTGTCCATGGCGGTGGTGCTGAATAGGTTAATATTGATGGCTCGAGAATCGATTGTTCACTATATACAGGAGCTCCTTCACAGCGTTATAGAGTGGATAAAGTATTGATAAAGCGATGTTCATTATAAAGAAGCACTTTAGAAATATAAGAAATTGCATTTATCGGGCTAACTGCATTTATAAAATAATCCAAATTGCAAACTAAATGCAACCTTGGATATCACATATATATAGGCCTGTATGTGTATGTATGTATGTATGTATGTATAATTTTGCAAGTGTGCGAACCTGCAACCTCACGGCCAAAAGTATTCTGCCTTAACCAGCTACATTAACTGGCTGTTTGGCTTCGCTTGCTTTTGAAAGGGTCATTTATATTATCATGTTCATATGTATTATGAAGGCCTGGTCGAGCACTGATGGGTTGGTGATGGGGATAAGTGTCCCGTCCACAAGGCCAATTTCTCACGGGACACCCGCAATGGCATGGAAGCCTTGATGTGCCTCCATCACTTTGTGCCCAGCGAAAGGCATACGTATATAATTGGTGGCGTGACGGAGCAGGATGTTTGTGACTGAGTGAACGCACCGCCACATCGAGGTCTTACTCAGCCCATATCCATCCCCAACCACCTCCAGAAAACTCCCCACAGCATAAAACGGAGAGCCAGGGATTTAGGGGGTAGCTCCGTCGAGTTTGTCTCGACAAAGTTGGACCAACAAGATGTAAAAGCTGCTGAATTTGCTCCCGTGGCTATTATGAAATAGTGCACATACACTAACTGGTTCTGCGGACGCAGTCGTCTTTGATTTAGGACAACTATTCACTGTCTCGCTGCCATAGTTTGACTAAACTATGACCATTCATTCCCTTTAAATAGACTCCTAATTATGTGCTGCCTAATGTTTTGCCAGCCGATATTATAGCTAAGAGTAGTCCAGACTAACTTTACGAACAAATTACTTACAGAAGGTATACTTAACTAAGAACGTTTCGGGAAACACGTATTAACGATAAGGTACAACGTAAGTTATAACTTACGAACGACGTAGCGTTAAGAAGGTTTCGGGAAACGCAGCCCTGATCTCAGCATCATCTAGTCAGTCTGCGATTACATGAAGAAACAGAACAAACTGAGACAAACTTTGTGGCAAAGTCTCCAAGACATTTGATGAAACCTTCCTGCAAAACTTCAGTATACTGTGAAAGGTTTTAGGCACTTGAGTAAAAATGCTGTAAAGTGAGGACGCTTTCAAAAATAATGTCATAAATAGGTTGTCTTTATTAATTAACTTCTATTAACTAAATTAAATGAACATTTGATGTGACTATCCTTTGCATGTAAAGCAGCTTTTTTCCGAGGCAGTGGCAGAGCCAGGATGTTTTTTTAGGGGTGGCCAGGGAGGGGCCAGCAACCAGTGGCACAGAAATCTTCATTATTTCAATATAAAAATGTGATTGACTATAAAGTATTGGACTGTTTTAGTGCCTAAAACACAACTGAATACAATTAATTTCTACTAAATTGTAATTGAGATATTTGTGAATTAGATCAAGTAATACCGAGTGAATATGACAGTTTGTGTATTATTCCCCACCTCCAGATATTTTAATAAAGGGGCTCACTATTTAGCTTTATTGCTTAGTCAGATTGGTTCTGGTTCTCAAAACCCCCAAAAGCTTGTTCTCCATCATTACATACTCATTGATGAGACATGTAGATAGTGATAAGAATTGGTTAATAAAATTAAAAATAAAAAAAAAGGTCCGGAAGTCAACAGCACATGAATGCCAGAATGTAAAATGAGTTATTTTATGCATTTAGATGGTTTCATTTTCGTTAGTACTTTACAAAATAAACAAAAATAAAAAAATAGCGCATGTTTTCTAGTATAAATGCACAGTGTTCATATTTACTTGTGCATTAAATTACAAAACAAAACAAAAAAAAAACAGCTTGCGCCTTGTGTAGGCCTATATTGTATATTGTGATTTCAAATTGCACAATATTTTAGTACATGCATTTGAGAGACGTTCTTTAATGTGATGCGATACATAAATGAATGCACTAATCGCCTTTGTGGTAATTTCATGGTTTAACTGACGACAGAACTACATTGCATGCTCATAGTTTCTTGCACGCATTAGCTATTTATGATGAAGCGATATTCGCGTAAAGTTGAAGCGTGTGCACCATGAGCACGGTAAAACAGCTGTAAGGAGAGGAAAGTTTGTTTTACTGACATATAGCCTAACAACCTCCCACCAGACTGCAGTTCACCGTTGTTCTACTGAAGCTCATTTGGCACACGTGCCGCGTCTTAATAAATGCATTTCTTGTGAAAAAAAAAGTAACAAAAACTGCAGTTTTGAGTGGGGTGGCCAAAGGGGTGGCCAAGCTTAGGTCAGTGGTGGCCCCTGGCTCCACCCCTGGTCCGAGGTGCACTTGCACATAGTTTTTAGCTTTGCATGAAGGTTTCTTGAAGCATCTTGGAGACTTTGCCACAGTTCTTCTGGATTTAGTCTGTCTCAGTTTGTTCTGTTTCTTCGTGTAATCGCAGACAGACTAGATGATGCTGTGATCAGATCTCTGTGTGCAGCACTGGCTGCTGTCAGACTCCTTGTGCAAACGAAAATCTCACTGGATTATTACAATTAATGGCAAAATGAATGTTTGGAAATGTAAACTGATATTTCCTACGTACACACCAATAAAACCTTTTTAGCTGGTGAAAATACTAGTGATAATTTTGGCCACCACTGTATATATATAGAGCGAGAGAGAGAGAAAGAGAGAGAGAGAAAGAGAGAGAGAGAGAGAGAGCGAGAGAGAGAGAGAGAGAGAGATTTATATATATCCGTTTATTCATTGAAGTCTTCGCACTGGTAACTCAAGATGTTTAATAGCGCGAACGCGACCTGCGTTGATGTTTGCCTCAACAATCTCTGCAGCAGCTGACTGATGATTTCTGGTGAATAGCCACCGGGGGGCGCCATAGGCCTTCCTCTGCTCGTCGGGAAGAGCTCGCGGAGTTGTGAGGGGCTTCAATAGTTGGCCGTGACGTCATCGGGCAGCTCTGGGGTCTGAGCTGCGCGTCTCTGGATGAAACTCAGCAGCAGGATATTTACCACACTCACTGACAGCATTTCACCTGCTGGACTTTAAACGCTGCTATGAATCTGTGTGCTGTTCTGCTGTTCCTCATTGCCAGGGTCTGTGCGGAAAGTCTGGAGGGGCCAACAGGTAAGACGAGTGTTTGAGAGACTTTGATTACACGGAGCCATACGGTCCAGATCGGTCCTCTCACACACAATCTGTCCCGGGAATCACAGCACAGGCAAAGCAGATTTAGGATGGAGCTAATCTGATTTGACGTGCATGATGTGGAAAGTTGAAATAAGTTTTTATAGACATTTAATTGGCATTTAATCAGTGATCGAGTGTTTTTTATATGGATCTTCAATCTCTCTCGTATAAGAAATCTTATCTTACGTGAAGACTGATGTTAAATTATGACAGATATGTGTATGGGTAAATGTTTCGATGGCGTTAGAAGTTCAGATTAACTTAAATATCAACTTGGCGCTATATTTCATAAATGCACAACAAATCAGTCAATAAATGGTTAATAAATGCCTTTTAATTTAATCCAGAATGGAAACTGTTGCTGTTCCCTCATGCTGTTCCAAAACCGAATGTCTTTCTTCTGTGGACCGCAAAAGGAGATGTCAGGCAGTTTGAGAGACTCAGTCACTATTCATTTTCATCGTATAGATAGAAATCTGCAATGAAAGTGAATGGTGACTGAGACTGTCAGCCACTAACATTCTGCCTAACATCTTCTTTGCTTACTCTGGGGAAGAAGGCATTGAACAACATGAAAATGGAAAAAAAGAAGAAGAAGAAGAAAAAAAATAGAATAAAGCTAATAAAAAAAAGTAATTCGAAAATAGAAATATATGGTGATCATAAATTATAAATCAATCTATTCTTTGTTGATACAGTTTTGTGCATTTTGTGGTATGAACTTGACTCTCTGTTAGATGATCCATCCTCTATTTACTCTTAGACAAATCTGTTTATTCATTCATGAATTAATGTCTGTTATAGATCCAATAGTATTTCATTTTAGTCGAGACTCAGTGAGTAAAGGAATATTTAGAGGTACAGGCTATGCCCTGAGGATCGGCTTCTGTCAGACTCCTCTATATCACCTCCGTATTTACATATTTACGCTTGTTTAAAGTCTCTTGCTATCGCTTTCACGTCATCAAATATCATTGCTGTGGCTTTGCTTGTCAGGTCGTGTGTTGGTTTGAGGGAGGATTTCCGAGCTCCTGCATCGGTTTCAACGCTGTACCCAGCAAATAAATGTGTGAAGACTGTTAAACTGCAAAAATCTGTCCATCCATTGATTCTTCAAACCGCTTGTCCTATGCAGGATCATGGGGGTGCTGGAGCTTATCCCAGCATCTTGGGCCATAGTTAATGAATACACTTAATAAAGTACAGACCAATACAAACTAGGGCTGCACAATGAATCGAATTTCTAATCGCGATTACAATTATGGATGCCACAATTACGTAATCGTTCAAAGCGGCAATTAATCGTTCAAAGTCCACTTATGTTATTCTGCGTGCTTAAGATATGTTTTTTTCATTCTACATGTTATCTTAAGGGTTTTTCCATTGTTTTAGTTTTAGTTTTAGTATAACATTATAATACCATTCATATTTTTACTTTTTTATAATTTAAAGAAGAAACCAATCCGATGTATATTTGACATTTGAGGCTTAATACTATAGAAAAGCACTAAAGGTTTTTCAGTTAGAGTGTTTACAGCTTGTTTATTTTCATATAAAAATAATACGGCATGCAGTTGCATCAAACAATGGTATAAACATCATTCAATGTAAATTGTGATAATCGTAATTAATAATCGCAATTACAATTTCAAGGGAATAATCGACAATTATGATTTGTGTCATAATCGTGCATCCCTAATACAAACTACAGTTATAAATTTAACTGAACTGATCTGAACCTAACAAATGATTTCTGTTGGTTTAACCTAATGTACCAATTCAGACATTATGTGTTTGAAAAAAAACAACAACGACTGATTCTAGATGTTACCACATTTTAGCTTACGGGACAAAATGCATTTTTAAGTGCATACTGTGCAGTTTTTGTTGTTTACTATCTACATAATTCTGCTCTGTCTATTTGGTGGCATTTATATTTTGTCAGAGTACATGTTGGGCTGTTTACTGATGGATTTCGGGAAGCTTACTGCATGTGTTGCGATGTTCAAGTCAGTTTTCCTGTGTCTTTGAAGCATCCTTCATACTGTCAGATTACGGCATCACACACAGTGGGGTGTGTGGGAGCTAATGAGACCTGAGTGCAAGTTCACTTCACTGACACACTGACGGTGTGTGTGTGTGTGTGTGTGTGTGTGGCTGCGATTGGGGGCGAGGAAGGTTACAGAGGTCTCTCACTGCAGTAATCCAAATGAAAGTCAGTGGGCATTTCAGAAAATGCATTCAAGGACACAGAAGGGCTGCTCACTAGGCACTGCCAGGTTTTAAAGGAATAGTTCACCCCCGAAAATGGCAATTTTGTCATTGATATCAATCAAGCAATCCCATATGACTCTGTATTCCAAGTCTTATTAAGCCATTCAAAATAATCAATTATTCAATGATAATTTTCCACACCATTATAACTCTGAAATCTCATTTTTCATTTCATATATTCAGAGACACATGTCTTTTTGCATTGGTTTTCCATTGGCATTTGGTGTCGGTGATATCAAAACTGGTAAGCCCTGCAAGTGTGCTACTCTTAAAATGGGACGTGAATGAGATTTCAGAGATGCAGGGAAGACTCTCTATAAACAACAACTTGGCTTGTTCCTCATCATGCTGACTTGGAATACATCAAATGAGTCGTCTTCAAAATTTTACCCCTTAAATTCAGTGGGGGAATAAAAAGAACAGCATAGGAGCTTGGAATGACATGAATGGGTTTTGAGGAAGTAAATCATTTATTTTTTTCTTTTTTGAGTGAACTGTTCCTTTAATAGCTGAGCACGCTGTGAGTTCTTCCCTACGAAGCTCACTCACATATTTCTGCTTTGTAATGTAATGCCACCTATTGCTCTTTCTCACTGTCTTTTGACAGTTACAGTTGAAAAACACACAATTGGCCATTACTTTATCAAACGAGTAAAATAGTTCTCTGCCGTATGCTGTTGTGCTTTGACCACTTCAAACGGAAATGCTTTCAGCTTTGCATTTGATGTTAAACACTGCTGTGTCATTAAACTTCCATCTACTGAATAAGGCAGAGCAATAAAAGAAGGCTTTTCCTGAATGAATAGATGAATAAGTGACTTGTTCAATAATGAGTCAGATATGTGTTTGTCACCTGATTTTGTCAAATTTGATTGTGATTGGTGAAATTCTGCAGTCAACAACATGCATATTTGTTTTACTGTACATGCTTTTCTTCCCAAATAAAATAATAAAATAATTTAGTAACTCTTTACAAAAAGGTTACTGCATTAACTAACATTAACGATGAGCAAAACATTTGTTACAGTATTTATTAATCTTTGGTAAGGTAAACAAAATACATCATAGTTCACGTTAGCTCAGGCCCATTAAGTAATAATAACAGATATGATTTTAAATAACGTATTAGTAAATTTCCAAAAGTAACATTTATTAAGATGTTGGTTCATGTTAACTAATGTACTTATCTAATGCTGACGAAACCATACTCTAAAGTGTTGCCAATTATTAACAGTCTAATCAGTATTTCACATTTATTTTTGTATGTGTGCATTTACAAATGCAATTATAACTTTATCCATACAGTTTTTTTTTACACAACTTTCCCTGCCATTGGTTGAAGAAACAGCTTCCATCCATTATTTGAGACACTGTCAGGCCAGTTGGGATGTTACAAAGTTCACACTTTTCAGGCGAATCAACAAGCAGATACATCTCTGCACGTTCAGCTGCGATGGGAGAAAGCATTTTAACATCAAAATATGCTTTAAACCCAGAGAACCTACAAATCCAGGTTATCTGCAACCATCTGATATAGTTTTTGCGTGACACTGAGTTGTATTCAAAGCACCAGGAGACATTAGAGCGAGAGAGTGACAGGTAGAAAAACTACAGAAGAATGAATTGCACTAGAAAAGTGTCCCGAATCCCCAGCAGCCCACCAGAGTCAGCAGAAAAGAGCAAGAGTAGGTGGTTGATATTATAAAGGAGGGCAGCAGAGGGCAATCGCTGGGCTATTCATTCTCTCAAACGCTTTCACACTGTACAGAGGCTTTGAAGACATCGCGCTCACGCTGCACACATTTTTTTCAGTTTGTTGCTCACATTCTATAATTAGAATGACTGTGTTGAAATTGAATCTTCGTTCGGACAGTGTTTTCAATATTTGGTGTATCTACATCAGCTGACATAAATATAGCAAGCAAGTAAAATGTATAATGAAACTGCTCCATCTATTCAGCAAGGATGCATTCAAAATCACAATAAAGACACCTAATGTTACAAAAGATTTCAATTTCAAATGCTGTTCTTTTGGACTTTCTAGTCATCAAATAATCCTGAAAAAATATGTCATGGTTTCCACAAAAATACTGAGCAGCTCAACTGTTTTCAACATTGATAATAATCAGAAAAATGTTTCTTGAGCAGCAAATCAGCATATTAGAGTAATGATGCTGAAAATTTGCTTTTGCATCACAGGAATTAATTATATCGTAAATATAATTAATTTTATAATATATATATATATTAATTGTAATAATATTTCACAATATTTTTTGTTTTTTATTACTGTTTTACCGTTCAAGTAAATGCAGCCTTTATAGGAAGCCCAAGAAAAGACTCCTTTATAGACTTTGTTGTTCATCATTAAAAAAAATAAATAGTCCCATGCTTTTGAACAGCAGTGCATATATATGTGAATAATTACAATTTTATGTTTTTGAAGTCTCTTATTGTCACTAAAGCTGCATTTATATATATATATAAATATAACCAGTGTTTACAATGTGCTACAACCACCCAGAACACCCTAACAACTAGGGGTGGGCGATATAGCCTCAAAATGATATCACGATATTTCAAGAATATTTGCTATAATGATATTTATGACGATATAGAAAAAAATATGGAACAACGTTTTATTGGTGATTGCAGCTGGCAGG